TGTGACAGGGATTCGAACCCGCGATCCTCAGATTGCGAGTCGAGTGCCTTAACCACCTGGCCATGCCGGGCCACTTCAGTAAGTAGGGTACGCTCATAATGCAAAATAAAAAGTGTACTTATTTCTTAGATGCACGATGCAATGCATCGTAATTTATCGATCCAACATTGATAGTACTTCTAACAAAATTCTATGCTGCTTGGAATCATATAGTTTTTCTTATACTAGAATGTAAATTTCATTTTGTCAGTTCTACCAAAACAAGATGGCCTAAATGTATTTTTCTGTATTTATCAAGGCTGGATTTTTGTGTTGTTGGTGTTAACAATGGCAAGTAATCAAGAAGGAAATCTGGACTTCTGTCATCAACGAAGAAGCGTTTCTTATGCTAGGTACTCGTGTTGTGTAAAACTAATATAACAAAAATGAACTTCTGGAAAAATGTCACGTCAAAAGTTTACTATTAATGCGTCAAGTAAAATATTGACATTTGAAGGTCAAAATGATGTGTTGGTCAGCTTTAGGTAAAACCTTTTTTTAAGACCTCTTGTACAAATGTATTATTTGTAGTAAATGTGTTTAGTATCCTTACAAACGTAAGTCAGGCTTAACTCCAACATATAGTTAAAAGTGATTCTTGAGAATAAAAAAATGAACATCTTGTGACACAGAGTAAAAATCCAACAGCTTGAGATAGGAATATAATCCAAAAAGTTGAGACACGGAGAGAGTGAAAAAAATCCAAAAAGTTGAGACACGGAGTGAAAATCAAGCACCTTTTTAAACCTAACAACTTTAGATACGGAAGAATGAACAACATCTTGAAACATAATTAAAAACCACCATGAGACGCGAAGTATAAACAAAAAAGCACGCATGTTTAGTTGACTGATGGCAATACTTGATCAAAAGCTAAGTTTTGGATCTGTACTATGTGCTGTACAGGCCCGGATAAACTTTTTGTGGCCGTGGCAGCAAAAAAATAAAAAATGTGTATTCCTCACTTTCATGTGTTATGTTTTCCTCTCATTTATTCGGGTAAGATGGAGGTCCCCCCTGTGGGTCTGCAGTTAGTTTACAGATTTACAATGCTAGAATCCACAAAGCTTATTGTGTACCTTTGCACTAAGAAAACGACATCAACAACAGATATGACGGTGGAGCAATTTTATCTGTCAGGATAACAGAAGTAGATAACGCAGAGACATTGGTATACTATTATTCTCCTTCTTTCAAAGTCCAAGGTATTCTGAAATAAAAACAAAACAAAAACACCTCTAAATATTCCAACAATAGTCAGTCCAATGAACCTTCTTAACGCAAGGGCCAAGTGCAAAAAAAGAACAAAACAAACAAAAGAACATACACAGACTTTTCTTCTTTTACAGAAAGTATATGCACTTTAAGGAAACAAACACTTCTGTCCTTATTAACAAATTAAACACTAATTCAAAAGTTAACGTTGCTTCTATAACGGCAATCAGTTACTGAAAACAAACAGATGGCGACCACATGGCCAGGTTATGCGTTCATAGTATTTGACAATATATTTGTCATGTCAGTCCAATAGGCTGGCCTAATTATTCTCTTCAAATATACAAATTGCCAATGGAAAGGTAACGAAATGTGTACACATTAAAAACATCAATATACGTCTTAAGTAGTACATTACCCGGTGTCAAGAGATGTGCTGAATATTTTGTTTAACTTCATATTAAAACTGGTGCCCGAAAGATGTGCCGGGTATTTCAGTAAACTAGTATTAAATCCGGTGAGTGGAAGATGTGCCGGGTATTTTGTTAGGCTAGTATTAAATCCGGTGAGTAGAAGATGTGCCGGGTATTTCAGTAAACTAGTATTAAATCCGGTGAGTGGAGGATGTGCCGGGTATTCCAGCAAACTAGTATTAAATCCGGTGAGTGGAAGATGTGCCGGGTATTCCAGCAAACTAGTATTAAATCTGGTGAGTGGAAGATGTGCCGGGTATTTCAGTAAACTAGTATTAAATCCGGTGAGTGGAGGATGTGCCGGGTATTTCAGTAAACTAGTATCAAATCCGGTGAGTGGAGGATGTACCGGGTATTTCAGTAAACTAGTATTAAATCCGGTGAGTGGAAGATGTGCCGGGTATTTCAGTAAACTAGTGTTAAATCCGGTGAGTGGAAGATGTGCCGGGTATTTCAGTAAACTAGTATTAAATCCGGTGAGTGGAAGATGTGCCGGGTATTTCAGTAAACTAGTATTAAATCCGATGAGTGGAAGATGTGCTGGGTATTTCAGTAAACTAGTATTAAAATCGATGAGTAGAAGATGTGCCGGGTATTTCGTTAGACTAGTATTAAATCCGGTGAGTGGAAGATGTACCGGGTATTTCAGTAAACTAGTATTAAACCCGATGAGTAGAAGATGTGCCGGGTATTTCGTTAGACTAGTATTAAATCCGGTGAGTGGAAGATGTACCGGGTATTTCAGTAAACTAGTATTAAACCCGATGAGTAGAAGATGTGCCGGGTATTTCGTTAGACTAGTATTAAATCCGGTGAATAGAAGATGTGCCGGGCATTTCGTTAGACTAGTAATAAATCCGGTGAGTGGAAGATGTGCCGGGCATTTCGTTAGACTAGTAATAAATCCGGTGAGTGGAAGATGTACCGGGTAGGTATGGAGAAGAAAGTAGAATTACATGAATCTCTGAACTTCTTGGTATAATCCTAATCCAAAAGAATATCGAAAAACTACGCCCAAACTGAATGTCACCTCTAGTTAAAGCAAACTGGATAGAAAATAGTCAAACGTGTCACGTGATGGTTGGGTACGTCAACGCTATTTGACTGTTGTCCTAGCAATTAAAACCTATATGTTTCACAGTCTTCCAACTGCTAACACTAGTGAATTTCTTATCGTTAATGACATAAAGTGAGTTTTACATTGTTATTCATTCAATGAAATCTTTTTAAAAGAAAAGACAACAAAAAAACTCGCAAAGACCCTACAGCTTTTTATCTGACAATAACTATTTCACCGACTCTTATCCATGTAAACACTAACACGCGAACAATTTCCCTATTATAAACATTCCTGGACAACAAACTGCCATGAAGTTAACACTACACTCGAGAAAGTGTTTTTATATTAACACTATACTCGATAAAGTGTTTTTATATTAACACTATACTCGAAAAAGTGTCTTTATATTAACACGATACACGAGAAACTGTATTTACATTAACACTATACTCGAGAAACTTTCTTTAACACTATACATGATAGATGGTTTTTATATGAACACTTTATGTGACAAACGGTTTTCATATCAACTACATTATTCGCTATTATTTAACATCGACACAGGATAACCGAAGTAAGCAACACAGAAGCTCTTTAATTAAAACAAGGTCTTCTAAACTAAATACAAAACAAGAACACCTCCAAAGATTCCAAAAATAGTCAGCCTTACAAATTACCGTTACAACGATATGAAATTATATGTACGAATTGTTTAGTTGTATAATGATTATTCAGTTTCACGAGTGTGACTAGTTTATGTACAAACTGATGAACTTCACGGATGTGATCGTGATATCCAGGGCAACCTCACGTGCCAGCTAGGTTGTGACGCAACGGCTAAGCAGGATTTTCCACATTGGAGTCCCTGAGTTGGTTTACAAAAGTCGTCACGTGACGTCAGAAAAGCCTAGTGTGTGTGTGTGTGTGTATATATATATCATGTTCTTCATCTTCACGCTTACGTGATTCAGCGCGTTCTTTCATGAGAGATTGTTGCTTAGTGACCGTTCAAAATTGAGAAAGTCAGTAACAGTTTATCTTTACGTTCTTCTTGAAGGATAAATTATTAAACATCTTACCTAATAAGTAAGACTTAGTAAATCCGTTGTTTGAGTTCCTTATTTTGTACGAGATACTGAGATAGTTGGATTTAAGCTTTTAACATGGCTTTTATGATGCCTGTCGTAAAGAACGAGTTCGAAGTTTACCCAAACGGAACAAAATCGCCACGTAGTCATATCAAGAAGCCCGTGAAGAGCTCCCGGAGCGCCCCGGTCACTCCTAGATTGTCTATCTCTCCTGGTAGCGACGCAGAAGTTCATCTGATCAGAGTTGTTTCAGGCAAAAGCTTTAGTACCGACAGATCTCGAAGTAGTTCACATAATGTTTCCGGAATTCCAACCCCTAAGTCGGCGTCTCATTCGTCTCTCCACAAATTCCACAGCCACTTGGTGGACAAGCTGAGGAAGAGACTACACCTGCAGGACAATTTGGGGGATGAGACTTCAATCTGCGACTCCAGGAAAGAAGAAGACACCGTTACTCAAACCCCCTAGATAACTGGCTTCGAACTACACCCTGTTTTAATGTACAAATTTCAGTAACTATGACTCTGAGATTGGGTAACAGTGAAAAAAAAGAAAAAGAAAAAAGAAAGTAGGTTCGTTTTATTGACAGAAAGCGTAAAACTATTATAAAATGTGAGAGCGAACAAATAGCTGTATAAGTTTCGTCTACTATTATAACTGGTATTATTGACAGAAAGTGTAAAACTATTAAAAAATGTGAGAGCGAACAAATAGCTGTATAAGTTTCGTCTACTATTATAACTGGTATTAGCTATTTGTTCGCTCTCACATTTTTTAATAGTTTTACACTTTCTGTCAATAATACCAGTTATAATAGTAGACGAAACTTATACAACTATTTGTTCGCTCTCACATTTTTTAATAGTTTTATACTTTCTGTCAATGTATAAGTTTCGTCTATTATTATAACTGGTATCAAAAATGGAGTTTTGACTTTTAGAAATTTTATTACCATGGAGATCGACTTGATTTGAGAAACTTAACTTGGAAAAGTGTGTTTGTTTTGTATATTTTATGGTAAAAGTGAAATGAGAGGTATTGTAACTTTCCTGTATATAACTTACAATATTTGATGTCTCTAAGAATCTCGTATTTTCAAAGATTGTGTGAATTTTATGTATTTATTATTTTATGTGAAGAAGAAACTATTAAATAATTTTTTTTTTGAATTTTTGACTACTTGTTGAGTAACTAAAGTAAGAATTAAAACCAGTTCAAGGTATTTTACAAATCTGAAAACAACGGAGCGTTCCTTTTTTCTTAAGTGCTTTTGAAAAATCTGGATCTTAATATATATATATATATATATTTAGGTAAATACATACATTTTGAACATTCATCGATTATGTAATAGGAAAATTTCAATGTTTTATTTTTCGTGAAAGTTTCTTTACTTTCAACTGTCGTTTGTTATTTTCCATGAATATATTAAAGTTTTTAGGCCGTGCTCGATTCTGTCGATGAGAGAATGCGCAGTTCCTCTGTAAAATACACGAGTGAGTAATCATGTAGAAACTATAATGGGAATTTTAAACCTGAACAACACATTATAAACATAGGGGATAAACGGCCACGTCAGAAACCCATAGAATTCAGCTTTAAAGCATTTCCACAATTTGAACTATTGAGCAGAGGAAAAGTAGCCAACCAGTGTTCGCCGTTACAAGGTATTTGTCCTTTCTTTGTACAGAATAACGGTAGTGAGTGTCTCATTTATAATCTTTCCACAGCTGAAAGTGCGGAGCGCGTTTATTGGCATCATACCTAATAGCCACATAGACAAATAATGGACGAGATCTATAAAACAAATAACTAGAAAATTAGATGAAAAAACGTTGTCTTGTACCAAGCTAAATTCCAATTACTAAACTTTTTGAAAAACGTATTTCTTGAACAAATACGACTGTATTTCTAAGCAGAATACCGATAAAGTCAAAATATAATTTACTCCTACTTTGTATGAAATAATACTGGTTTTAAACCATTATTAGGACCAAGGAGGATGAGATCTTTCGTAGACCTCTTCCTCTCCTTACCGCGTTGTTTATATATTCTGATATTGATTGTTAGGTAATATCCTTTACTCACGGTTTATATTAAATTTAATATACCCGATCCAGACTATGTCCATTTCATGAAGTAATGTTAATTTGTATATTTACACTATGCTTAGTTAATGTACGATTACACTTTCAGTCCTGTGCTCACTGTACAGTTCCACATTCTAGTTCCTGTTCCTGGTTGCATACTGTCATGGATATGAATTGTTAGCTAGAACCAAGAGAGCCTATTTTGTATGTAAAATATTCATGATCTGCAGATGTAAAAACAAAACATTGGCACATATTTATCATTTTACTTAAACTTTTCCTATATTTTCTCTTGATCTCCTGTTAACAGCGACTTGGTTGATTCCTCTTCAGTGGCCATTTTATTTTTGAGTATCAACCGAGGTTGTGCCAGCAGATGCTGACCTCTCGGGTGGAGAACAGCTCTCTTGTAGAATATAAAACTATTTTATTTATACAGTTTTACTAATTGTTTAGCCTAAAGGATCATAAAATGTTTATAGCCTTTAATTCTGTTGAACTAACAGTAGGACAACAGTGGTCATAGAATAACTGTTGAATGGCTATTATCTTTTGTTCAAACATGTACATTTAAGGATATCCTGACATTCCATGTTTTAAATAGTAGGTACTGTAAACATATATTATGGAATTGCTCCTTCCTCTATTGTATAAAAAATAACTGCAGAACATAGTCGTGTTGTTAGTTTACATTGTGATTGGCTGCCATAATACTCATAGGTAACTTTCGAAAAAAGGACGACTAAGTTTCCCGCCAAATTGGACAGATATCATAGTGAAGATTCTGCAGATATGCGTAGTTGGGTGATCGATCTCATAGTTTCAACATGCGCCTAAAGATCACTATTGTTAAAACAACTAAGTTAGTTATATCTTTAAAAAGTACTCACACAAAGCTGCTGGGTTAAACAGCAGTGCGATTCCTTCAAGTGTAATAAGCTACTGGGTTAAACAGCAGTGCGATTCCTGCAAGTGTAATAAGCTACTGGGTTAGACAGCAGTACGATTCCTGCAAGGGTAATAAGCTACTAGGTTAGACAGCAGTACGATTCCTGCAAGTGTAATAAGCTACTAGGTTAGACAGCAGTACGATTCCTGCAAGGGTAATAAGCTACTAGGTTAGACAGCAGTACGATTCCTGCAAGGGTAATAAGCTACTAGGTTAGACAGCAGTACGATTCCTTCTGGGTTAGACAATATTTTGATTTAGATCGTGATTTATCTTTTTCCTATCATAACTATACAAAAGAATCGGGTAAACACATTGAAACAACGCATGCTATATATTTAACAATCAAATTCCAAGCCCATTTCAGTATTCCACGAATTAAATTTTGAGGAATGTGAAATAACCATCGACAAAAGAGGATTTGTTTTTGGTTAAACCCTAAGTTAAGCAAGGGACTGTCTGCTCAGGGATCGGTGCTTAATTTTAGCGTTATAAGCCCTCAATTTTACCGCTGAGTGACTGTAAACCTAAAATAATACAGGCCCGGCATGGCCAGGTGGTTAGGGCGCTCGACTCGCAATCTGAGGGTCGAGAGTTCGAATCCCCGTCACACCAAACAGCCGTGGGGGCGTTATAATATGATGGTTAATCCCACTATTCGTTGGTAAAAGAGTAGCCCAAGAGTTGGCGGTGGGTGGTGATGATTAGCTACCTTCCCTCTATTCTTACACTGCTAAATTAGGGACGGCTAGCGCAGATAGCCCTCGTGTAGCTTTGCGCGAAATTCAAAACAAACAAACAAACAAAACCTAAAATAAACAGAAATAGTTCTTGCCCCTTTGCAATTATTATTATTTATTTTAAAGTGCGTGCGATAAAACGTGACATTACCATTATTTAGTCGGATTTTGTTATACATATTTTATGTGGTTATCAGTTTGTATTTATATATGACGCTATAGCCCTAAAGAAAGGCGTAAGCCGAAACGTAGGGTTTATAAATTTTTTTTCTTTTTCTGGAGTGTTATTAAACTAATCTTTTTTTTTTTTAAACATGATTATAATCTTCCAGTATGCTCTGTATCAAAACTAATACAAACTTGTATTGGAAATTTTAAGATTAAAACTTGAATAAGAAAATAATTAAAGTAAATTGAACATTAATATTTGTGGTAAAAATCACTAACTGCATTTTTCTTTTCACATTCCTTTTAACGTGTCCATTGCTGATTCAAAAACAAAGAGCAAATTAGCATTTCAAATATATCTTATTTTTTCTCTTACAAGTCATTGCCCAACAAGCCTTTCGTTCAATACCACAAATCATTTGTTGGTCTGAATGATCAGGGATAAAAGATTCTGTCGAATGCCCAACCGATGAGTTGTGGTGTTATACGAAGGATCTCTTAGGCAGTGACTTGTGGGAGGCAAAAAAAAAAGAAGAAAAAAAGAAGACATACAGAGGCATCAGATTTGACTTATATAGCAACTATAAGTTATTACTATATTAATTATTTTTGGGGAATGCCCCATGACCCCCCCCCCCCAGATTGAGTTGTCTTAGGCAGCACGGGACCTGTTTTTAGCAGCTCCTTATACTGCTTTCAATCTCTCATTGTAAAATCTGCATGTTTAGCCAAGCATCTCCTCTTTGCAACTCCTTCCTACACCACTGATATAAAATGATATATTGTTCATCTCGGATTTAAATTCGCAATAGCAAAGGAATGTAAAATAGAGAGAGATAGATAGAAAAATCAGAAGAAAAAAACGTTTGCAGTGAGAGTATTTTAAATCACAACTTTTAGGACTATTGGTTTTTAATGCTTTACCAGCTTTTAGCGTTTAAACCATACATTTTGCAGTTTTATAAAAAAATAGATATTGGTCTAAGGATAAATTAAAACTGTTCATGTTTATAACGAGGAAAATATTTTCTTTATATTCTCTGCCAAATAATTTTTTTCCAAACGATATAAGCAATAATGTGTTCTCCTTTAGAAATATTGTATTTTGTTTTAATACGCGTATAACTATAAAATGTTCTACATACAACGGTTGTTGTCATTGCCTAATAAAGAACCAGTTAAATGAAAAAACAACAAACAAACATAAACAGGCCTTCATACACAGTAGGATATAAAATATCGGAGTATTTTGTGGGCTTTGTTTACCATACAAACCAATTCATCTCCAGTTTCGAGAAGCTGACCTGGATAGGCATTTATTTATTTAGGAGGATCTGGGTTAGCGTGACAAGGATCACGTAGTTGTTAATAAGAACAAGGGTATCTCTTTTATTACTGAATGTCAAACAACGATTTCTTTAACCCAACAAGACGTTCGATAGTCTTCCCTGTGATCAGATACTGATGTAGTTTACAAATTTCAAAGTACTGGAGTAAAAACGAGTCAGACCCGAAGCCAAC